GCCGCCAGAGCAGGCCGCGGCAGGACGGGTGGGCGGGGCCGTGCCGGGGCCATGCCGCGCCCACCCCGGAGGCTCCGCCCCCTTCCCTCAGCCGCCGCCACCGCCGCTACCGCCGCCGCGCCACCTCCCGCCTCAGGCAGGGCCTTCGCCAGCCGCGCCGCTGCCCTCGCCCGCCGGTAAGCCGGGGCCGAGCCGGGTGGGCGGGAAGCCCCGGGCGGGGAAGGGAAGGGAGATAAAACGGGCGGCGGAGCTTCCCTGAGGCGAAGGGGAGTGGCCGGCGCCGCCGCGCGCGTCTCCCTCACGAGCTGTCAAGGCGCCCTGAGGCGGGGGTCCCTCCGCCCGACGCCCCCCCCCCGCCCTCAGGAGCCGCCGCCGCCGGGTCGTGTCCCGGAGACCCTCCTCCCGCCCTCGGGGCCTGGCCTGTCACGCCTCCGCCGCCGGGATGCCCTGCGAGGCTTCCCCTCAGAAGAGGGCAGGTGGGTGGGCCTCGTACCTCGGGGGAGCCTTCCTCCTCCTCCTCCTCCTCCTCCTTTCTCTCCCGTCTGTGGGAGGCGGCCGCCCTCCGCCGCCTGCCCTCCCCTCCCCCACCCCGCGCCCACGTGGGAGAGCAGCGGCAGGGCGGCCGCCGCGCGACTGACACGCGCGCACGCGCACGCGCGCTTCCCTGGCCGAGGGGTGGGGGCTCCTCTCTGCCCCCCCCCGTCTTCTCCTCTCCCTCCCCCCGCCCCAGGTCGAGGCTCTGACTTCCTGTCCAGGTGGCCGATCCGGCGATGCCAGCCGGCAGAAAATGCTTGGGTGGGGTGACCGGGGGGGCGGGCAAGAGGGNATCATGACTTCTTCACTGTAGATCCAGGGTCATGTGCACAGAAGAGGACCTGACCCAGCAGGTGCTTAATTTTGGAAGGAGCATCACTTCACCTGAAGTTTGCAATGAGCATCACTTCAATAGTCCTCGTATCGTGACTTGTAGCCATGCAGCGATATACTGTAGAATCTTGAAATGATGTTTGGGAATGGGGGGCACACAAGCCAATGCAGAATATCATATATTGCTCTACGATGAAGGCTTGTGCTGGTCTAAGAGAGAGAGAAGTTATAGTTGAGGCACAGTTGCCGAGCAGGCATGTAGAGCTTAATTTAAAGCAGTGCCTCTTCCGAAGATGCACGGTGAGGTCCACCAGCTCTTTTCCCTCCAGGCCAATAGGAGCAGGAGAAACAGCTGACCCCCAATATGTGCTCAGTTTTTAAGGTGGAAGCAGATAAGGTCTCTACATAAAATAACAGATAGTTGCACTGCAATGGGTGGAGTTACCCTTATGGCTAAAAGGAGAAAAGACTCTGTGCCGGCTTGCTAGGAAGTTTGTGAAAAAGCAACAGCAGTAATCTTAATCCTGTGTTGAATGCCAACTAGAGTTGGAATGGTCACCAAACCATATTTGAACTAAACTCAGATCAAATCAGATGTAATTCCTCTGCAGAATGGAAGGCAGCAGATGTGTGTGGTCTGCAGTCTTTGAAACTGAGAATATGATGGGGGTGGGCTGCGTTGTACTATAAATGTTAACATATCTGATGCTATAATAGTTTGTTCAAGTTTATTATTTTTCAATCAAATTGCACTACTGCATTTTTTTTGTTCTTTCTCTGTTACACTGATATCCTCCTGCCTTTCCTCAGATAGGTCAAGGTGTCTTATATGTAGATCTTCCTTAATTTTATCCCCACAGAAGGAATCCTATGAGGGATGTTGGATGAGAGATTATGACTGGCCCCAAATGTCTATGGAGATTCTCATTCATCCCGGTCATGGTTGTCCCAAAGGTGCTTTTTCAGGAGTCAACTGGGCTTTGAAGACATTTTGCTTAACATCACCAGTGAACTGGTTGAAGGGGAACTTGATCCTGGGTTTCCCCAGTCTAAGTCCAGGACCTTTACCACTACAGTAGGATAGTTTTTTCTTCGTTGTGACTTGTTCCCCATTTCTCTATTGTTGTTAGTATAGATAGAAAAAGCCAGCAGTTAATGGAATCCAGATGTGGGTGCCACAAATTGATTCAGTGAATTATCTAAACAGAAGACAAAGGCAAATGTTGAGGGAAAAAAAGAGCCATAGCATACATGACGCTTGCGTGTTGGTGCTGTATCTTGCTTTTCAGAAATCAAAGGGGGAATTAAGTTTTTTTTCATACTTGTTTAATATACTTAAGCAAAAATAAGAGACTGAAGAGATTTATTTTGGTCCAGTTTGCTAGAGAAGCATCAAATAAGTGACCAGTTGCATATAGTTTTGTAAAAGTTGGGTGGTACAAACAAAAAATGCTTTAACTTACAGAAGATGTATCAAAGTGAACCAGTTGGAATAATGTAGGATTTCATGCTGTCATCCCTTGATGTGCAGTTGTTGTTGTTTTTAACATAATGGTAATGGAAACTGTGGCTGATAATGTATTAAAAATGTAAAATCTGACAGTTGCTCAAGAACATTGTATGGAAATAGTGAGATTTGTTATGATTCATATTTCTAATATTTTTACTGAAAATGATATAATGTACTTCATGTATCTCTCCATTTTACAGTTGCTTGCATATGGTAATCTGTGCGCTGTTCATGTTTTAAATAAGCAAATGAATCTACAGTTGTTTTGTAGTATTGTTTTTACAGAACTCTGATAATTATATTTCTATGTTTTCTAAGACATCTGATCATATTGTGGTCTTTTATTTTGTCTGATGCAATCTTTTATGCTTTATAATTTTAGCTTATCTCAAAGAGTTGGATATTTAGCTACATATGCACTTACTTTAACTGGGAGATGATTCCTTTAAAATGATTGTTTCAAGTATGAATAATAATCTAATTACTGTACTCTTCAAAGCTATCTAGTGATAGCTGTGGCCATACCATCAATAGACCAGAGACTGCAGAGCCATACTAAAGGCTGCAGCGCTATTAGAACAAGAGAAAACTTATATATTCTTGTGCATCACTAAACAACTGGGGGGCTGCTGGTTTGTGTGTGCACATATCAGTTTCATATTAAATTACTTTTTCCTTGTAAGTTGTCATATACAGTGAAAAAGGTGGTCCTTTTCTAAACCACAGTTAGTGTTCTGTAAGTTGTAAAAGTTAAAAGATCTTGGGGAAATAGAGCGTAGTGTAGGCAGAATCACCATTTTAAAGTCAACGTTGCATAGTTTTGGTTTAGTTCCTATTAATACAAGACTGTTGCTATTTCATTAATAAATGCAAATTAGTTTGCAGTTGATAAAAAAGGTCAAACAAGTCCTCTTTAAATTCATTGCAGCTTGTCATCATAGTCTTGGTGAATTTTCATTTGATTGATCAGTGTGTTGTGAAGTAGTTAGCATATTTACTATGTCATTAAATAATATAATACAAACATTTAAGCTCAAAATTAATCCATTTTGAGTTGAAGTAATCTGTTCCAAGTTCAAAAAGTTTGAAACAGCTGTTCCATTCTTGCCAAGTGTTCCTACTCTGTCCCATTCCTACTGAACATGTTTCAAACTTGAAATGATTGTGTTTTCATTTCAAAACTGTTGTTGTATAATTCTTCTGGAATGATTGAAGCACTTCCAATAAGATCAGGACAACCTGTTTTGAAGTTGAGATATGTTGCATTCCCCTACTAAGTTTGCCTATTGGACTAACCTATTTTCTCAACTTCCAGCATTGGATATATTATGAAATATAAAACTTGTACTCTAAGCAGTGTGGCTGCTCTATTTTGTCTGTGATTTTTTATAATAAGTAATATATATGTACATTATTGTGATCTTTTAGTCAGATATACCATATTGAAAAACGTTTAGGTCAGAAATGCTAGTAACTGAAGGTTTTCAGATCCTTTTTAACAAACACAAATTGGGGAAGTATAGAATAAAAACATACAATACAGATGTTTTGGAGAGCCTAAACTGCCAACACAATAACCGTCTAGGATCTGTAATCCACTATCATACCAGTAATTAATTTTCAGAAATAATCTTTGCCATCTATTTCCTGTGTACCTCACTTTCATCCTCCTTATCAATATTTCTTCATCGTGGTTACTTTAACTGTAAACTACGGTAACAGTAAATAGAGAAATAGAATGACCTGGGCAGGCAAAAAAGCTGTGGGAGTGGGGGCAACCACCAATTTCCTGCCAGCTTCCCCATTAACCTTCCTACTGGGTAATTGGCAGGGAGAGTTTGAACTGAGAATCTCCTGAACATGAGTGAACGCACAGTGGCACTAAATAGGCCCCAACTTCGCCAAAATTTAATCCCCTGGGAATAATGGATGCTGGATTCTGGGCGGATTCTTTAAGTTAGCCCATTTGAGGCATGTTGATTGAAAAATTGTTGACCTATAATGGCCTGTTTTGCCCAATTGAAGGTTACAAACAGACAAGTAGGATAATTTTAGTAGTATATAGATCCTGGTAACCTTTGCATTCTTGTTCTCTATGAATTAGTCTTAATTTCTCTTCAGTCCTGTATAATATATCTCTATATCTTGAATGAATAAATTTTATATTTTAAATGTTCAATGAAGGCTTTAGTTATTTTTTTTCTGTCCCCAAACTCCCATTGTAATGTATTCCATAGTAGAGTCTATAGTGTCTACCATAGTGAAAAATGTTACTATCTTAACTTCTTTTGACCTTAATAGTAAATGATATATCTAGGATATATTTTGCATGCCTTATGATATCTAACAGGTGTAACAATTTATTTATTTATTTACTATAGTACTACTAGTAGAAACTTTATTGATTTAGTCATTTGACCATATCAATATAAAACTATTGCAAGTATAAAGTAAATGCAAACAAAACAAAAGAACTTTTTCTTATAGCATTTACATACTATCGGAGTCGTTTAACTCATTTAAAGCTGGATCAGTGGCAGTTCTGCCTTTTTAATGCTTTTTTCCCCCTCGTCTTTTCAGTTCTGCTGTCCCAAGAATATTGCTAGAAGAAAGTTTTTTCAGTGAACACTGGTGTGTCAGTGCAACCTGCAAAAGGGAATCAATTTGTGTACCAAATGGTAAGAGTTTTTGTGTTCTGCTCCAGAACCTATCTATGAAATATCTGTTCCCTTTGGATAATTGACTTAAATCCTACTGAGAGGACTTAAAACGCTGAGATACTTTGGTTGTGTCAATAACTGTCACATGTACAGATTTTGTTTGTCACAAAATGAAATAGGTTCGCTCTTTGTCTTCAGTTACCTCCTCTAAGCAGTTGGCCAAATACTGCCTCCTCAGAGGGGCAGAGCTTATAGGGATCAGTGCAATGTTTATCAGTTTGACAAAAAAAGCACTATACACTTGAGATATCTCAAACCCGTGGTACACCAATTTATGATCCCTCCAGCTGCAAAACCTAGTTTTGGTAGAGGCCTTATTCTGGGACAGTTCTGAGGAGATCAAAAACAAATCCCTGCTGCACCAAAACAGATTATCTAATTAATAGATCATTTAATTACCTGATAAAATATTAATATTTTATCTGAAGTTTGATTAAGATTAAGATCAGATCATGACATATGCTATTGGAGAGAATAAAATAAAATGAGAATAGCGTGGGTTTTTCAAAGTTCCTTCTCCATAATTCTTGCAGCCCCTGAGACTCTGTTCTTTGGAACAGCAGAGGCATGAAGCAAGGCAGTAAAATCTGCAGAACTTTGGATGGGAGGTGTCTTCCTGATTTAAGCTGTTGGGTGCACAATTAAATCATAAAAAGTTTTGCTGGAAAAGAATGATCTAGTGCAGTGTTTCTCAACCTCAGCCATTTTAAGATGCATGGACTTCAACTCCCAGAATGCCCCAGCCAGCCAAGTGGCTGAGATTGAGAAACACTGATCTAGTGGATACACCTTGAGCAGATATCATTGGCTTCTGAGCACTGCCTATGCTATTGCTTAGAGATTCTTTCACATGCCATTTAGTTTCAACAGTGGCTTGTTGTGTAATATTAGATTATACTGAGTTTAGCATTAGCCAATGGATGCTTTTTTACCAGAATTTATAGTAGCTCCACAATCTGGCCTTAAAGCTAGAGTGAGAGATCAATCAAACAACTCTAATGGGGGCTCTAAATCACCAAAACATTGTTGATCTTGATGTTTCTGTGTTAAAAGTTAAATTGTGCCTTAAATCTTTAGCCCATGGTGTTAGATAGTTTTGCTGGAAGCAATGTTTGCTTTGTCTAATTAAAATGTGCTTTAATTAAGAACTATTTAAGATTGGTAGTACTGGGACATGTGCTTTTAATGAGGTTAAAGTAATAGCTTTTCCACCAGTGCTATATGATAAAACATGATACTAGACCTAATACTTCAGAATTGTTTGTATTTGCAGAAGTGTGCAGTGCCTTGATGCCTCAATCTCCTATCCAGATTTTGTATTTTGAGCCTAACGTTTTTCATACCAGCAAATTTGCAGGGCTCAAAAAAGGTATTATGCTGGAACTAAATTGTTTAAAAATATTATTTATCTTTCAGATCCGTAATGCTACCAAATTATATCAGGGACCAAATATTTCCCAGGACTAAGTAAAACTTTTGTAACAAAATGTGCTATGTATTAATGGGTAAGGATGTTTTTTTCTTATTATTTATGAAATTCATAATTAAATTCTTCACTTATTAAAGTTTCAATCCATGTTTGAAGCTGGGCAATGTTATATTTTTATGTAATTTTTACATTTATAAATACATATTTGGGGAAAGTTACTGGAATGACCAGAAGGGATAAAATAAAAAATGAAACCATAAGAGAAAGAATTGGCAATAGAACCAATCTTAACCAAACTACATACAAAAACAGCAAATAGAGTAGTTTGCTCACCTGGAGAGGATGTTGTGGGATTCCATACCGTAGGAGGCATATATAAAAAGAGGAGAAGGTCAAAGAACATGAGGTAGACCCAGAAGAAGATGGAGAGACAACATCAAAGACACACTGCAACAACATCAATTAACAATAGTTGAGGCTGCCAAAAGAGCAAAAGTCAAAACGTTGTATCTCCCTCGACTGCCAAAGCAGTGAAAGAGAGGGTAAAGAAGAAAAATGCATATATTCATATATAAAAATATATTTAGAAACATATCAGTAAGAAGATACCAGAAAGTGTTTATGATGGAATTTCAATTACAGTATTAATGTGTTTGTATTCTGAATGAATTAATATAACACACGAAGCTAAAACCAAATAACTATTATGGCTTAGTATTATGTACGAACCTACTCTCCTTAAACTGAACATATATTTTCTAGTGACTGTATTTCAGTTAAATATAACATCACTGTGGAAAAGAATGAACTGGGGCAAAATACTGAAATAGAGCATGATAAGTAAAGGTAAAGCAATATATTACTCAGTTGTATGAATTGTTATGTACATTGCAAATACATTCCTTCAACCACACTGACATTTATTTTCCAGGTCCCTAAAGAATATTTTTTATCCCATCAGCAGCTACTTTTTTCTGGGAATTTGGGGAAATAAACTGAGCTTGCTTACTTTACTTTGATATATAATAGATATAATGATTAAAAATATAATACATGAGAATTAAAAGGTATTCCAAATTGTTTAACTGCTTTTTTCCTTTCTTACCTAGGATATTTAAAACACTTCAAGATTTTATTTCTACAAAAATGCTGGTGGATGTCAACATGGCTTAGATGAAGTGCTTCCCACTGAAAAAAATATTTTGTTTGTGTGTGCTGCCGTAAGACTCGCTAACTCCATTTGTGGTAGTGGCAAAGTCACACAACTGTGTCAAGATGACAGACCCTATGATGGATTTTTTTGATGATGCCAATCTTTTTAGTGATACCTTGGAAGGCTTGTCAGATGATGCCTTTGTACAAACTGGGCCTGTTTCTCTGGTTGATGAGTTGAACTTGGGTGCAGAGTTTGAGCCTTTGCAGATTGATTCTTTGAACCACGTGCAGGAGACACAAACTCAGCAAAAGATGAACGATTACGAACATCTAAACCAGTATGATTCTCTGAAACTTCAAGTAAGTCAGTCCTTCAGTAGTCCGGTTGAAAACGTTTTATCCCCACATTCTGAGTTCAGTTGCTCTCCTGTCCATCCACAAAATCAAACTAATGGATTATTTCCTGATGTAGCAGATGGGAGTCCGATGTGGGGGCACCAAACTTCGAGCAGTGTTTCTAATCAGAATGGATCTCCGTTCCATCAAGGACCTACGCAGTCTATGCAGCAAAATAAAAGCTTTGTAGCACACCACAGTTTTGCCTTATTTCAGGCCAGTGAGCATCATCATCCATGTGCCTCATTGCAGTTGCAGCAAAGCATTAATGCAGGAGAGAACACTCGGAATCAGCCTGATGGTTTCTTGGAGGTGAATGCGTCTGTTTCACATAGAACTAATGTTCCCCATCCATCCCAAGCTGTTGATGTATCAAAATCACAACAGTCTATCTCTATGCCATCCTTTTCTCAGACTAGGAATAACTCGCCCCACTTTTGTGGAAATCAAGAAGGAAACTATGACGGACCATCTCCTACGATAACGTCATGCTCTATTAACACGCAGTTTTCTCCTCCTTTTTCCTATAATAGCAACCAGATCTCTCCTTCCAGTCTTCTTCAATCTTCTGCAACTCTTTCTGTTAGCCAGCAAGCTCATCCCCTCTCTGACTTTTCGGGAAGTGATGCCTTCGCAACTCGAAGAGGGACCAAACAAGAAGATTCAGACAGCCTCCTTAATTCAAGTACATCACTGACTTCAAATAATTTCCACGTGTTGCATTCAGCACAACCTCAGGGCAACTTCAGCAGTTCAAAACTATCAGCGGTGAACATTAATTTTTCTACCCCTCCTGGTTCGGGTCCTCAGCTAAGCCACTTCAGTGATCCTATCGAGGGTAATGGTTTTTCGTCTTTGGATGAGAATTTGCTCCATCAGGTGGAGTCTCAAAGTGAATCATTTACAGAACTTGACCCAGAAGCCCTTCTGCAGGAAGATCTCCTTCCCCAGTTCGATGAAACTGCATTTGTTCAGGACACCCCAAGTAATGATTTAGAACATCAGCTGGAACAGCGCATTGTCCCACAAGCAAACCTCCTTCAGGCTCAATCTCAGAATTGCGACCATCCCTGGTATCCTCCTGGTTCTAATCTACATCAGCCAGAGCAGAAGAACGTCACTGCTCAAGCCCAGGTAAGTAACAGTACTGTTGTAGAGCACCTGTGGAGATTCTCAGTCATCCAGGCCATGGTTGTCCCAAAGGTGCTTTTTCAAAAGGCAACTGGACTTCCTTTGTTTTCCTTGAAGACATTTCACTTCTCATCCAAGAAACTTCTTCAGTTCTGATTGAAAGACCCCAGGATCACTGAAGTGGTTGAGCTGAAAGTCAGAACTGAAGAAGCATCTTGGATGAGAAGCGAAACGTCTTCAAGGAGAACAAAGTCCAGTTGCCTTTTGAAAAAAAAACACCTTTGGGACTGTTGTAGAGCAGTATTGTGCCTTGACTGGTTTATTCTTTTCTATGCTATTGGCCAACATTAACTGACAAGATCAGAATTAATTAGTAACAACCGTATCGTGAAAGATACTTATGCCATGTGTAAATCTACAGAAGAGATTTGTTAAACAAGGTTTTAATTATTTTTGGTGGAAATTACAATGAATGTCCATTTCAGAAACTGCAGTTTTCTTCCATATTTTGCAAAAGACACAGAACACACATTTTTAAATTTGATCTATGTGACTTGACAGATTGTAATTACTATTTGTACTTTCAGTTTTGCCAACTGTTGAGTTTTGGGATGTAAACAAAGAAATAAAACAACAAATTGATATTATAATCAAATATATTAAAAGTTTTTAGATGCCTCCCAAACAAGTCTTTTTAAAAAATATTTTTGTTCAGGTACATGCTTTTTTAATTTTGTGCATACAGCTTTTTAACCATAATATTAGCTAACACATAAGAATCAAAGATTGTACGTGTGGATGAATTGACTGAAATGCTGCCTTTCCAATATTCCTGTTGATCTTAGAATGTTTAGCCTGCTCTACGTTGATTTTCAGTCAGTTACTAGTGCAATTTAATAAAACAAATAAATAAATACTTCCTTTAGTATTAATAGTTCATTTTTAGATAGAATATAATCCTGGGTAATATCATATTATACAGATGGAATATTGTATACACAGTTATACTTTGAAATATGCCATAGGATATCTTGAGGACATGACTCTGAAGCCTTGTCCTAGAGGCAATGCTTTGTCACTAAAAATCAGGGGTATGATTTTTTTAGAAGTCTTAAATTATATAGCTTGTCTATTCTTTTGATGGCCACTACAAATTACAAGTTTTCTAATTATTTAATAACTGTTGAGCAGGCATTAGCATCTATATTGATTTCTTTTGAATATCAGATACACAGAGCTAATGATTTAATCAGTGTGTGAAATGTTACTGTCTTAATGCATGTACTTTTTAAAGACTTTAATAAAAATATTAAGCAAACAATGCCTCTAGATAAAATCATATACGAATGTAATATGAATGCTTAAAATCTTTTGCAAAAGAAGGATGGATAAGATGGCCTATAAATCACTAAGAATATATAGGATCCAGACTAGGTCAAACTTAGAGTAGGACTATTGAAATTAATGGGACTTAAGTTATCCATTAGTAATATAAGTGTTTATATGTTAGGAGTTTTAAAATGTGTGTAATTTTTTAGTAGCAGGTTGCTATTGTGAAGATATGCAGGGAAAGGTCTAGGATAGCTAGGGGAGAGAGAAATAAATTTGCATAATATTACTTTGCTCAAAAGTGAACAGATACCGATTTCCAAAGTCTCTTGATACGTACAAGTTAGCCATTGCAGTATAAATATATTGCAAAAACATTGACATGGATTTTTATGAATATATTACTTTTTGAATTCTCAGGACAGTGGTTCTCTCTGTCGCCAATTATGCATTAGGAGAAAGTTTTCTTGTCCTGAACTGGCAGCCAGAATTGAAATACGATCCTAGCTATTACTTGTCCTGTGCTGCAGAAGCTGCTTTGCACTGCCAGGAAACTCGGTAACTGAAAGCAGAGTCATTAACAGTAGTTTTCGTGCTCTTGGCGTCCTCTGTTCCTCCTTAAAGCAAAGTATAAACAGGAAGTGGATTCCAGGAAGCAGTGGGAAAAGGGAGCGTACTAAATTGGAATTCATGGTTCATGACAGTGTATCTAAGGAGTAATGCTTTGGGATCAAAGTCAGATTAAGCACAAGTCAAAGTTGCCTCTGAATTGAGATTTAACCATTCTGTTGAAGAATAATTTTCTGAAACAGAGGTGCAGTGATATAAAAACAACTTTTGCACAGTGATATAAAAACATACGTAAAATGTGTCAACTGCCAGATGTCCCATCCAACATGGTAACTGCTGAGGATTCTAATAGTTGAAGTTCACATAGCCAAAGGATGCCCAGGAAGTGATGAGAGCAATTCCTAACAAACCTTAAGTTCTTCTTTCTCACCTCCTTTTTTTGCTTTTCTTTCTCTAATGTGAATATTACTAATTTTTATTAATCATAGTTTTGAACTACAACAGAACTTTGAACTGTATTGAATCTTAATTATGATGTATTGAAACAAGCCAGCTTAAGTCTCAAACCATCCCTAAAATTGAATATAATTTGTCATGTATAGAAGAAAGAACCTTGTGCTCATTGGAAAAGAGAAAGGGGGAGTATGTAAGCCTGTTATTTATTGTAGTATATTTCCTTAATAACAAGCCATTGTTTATCATGAGTCCAGTGAATTCAGTCGTTTGTCCCTTACTTAATGAAGTAATGCTGACTGGTAGCTTTGTTTGTTTAAATTCCCACTAAATGAAATTTGACCGAGGTATGTAAAGTCTATATATTGCACTATGTTTTAATCTGCACATGACTAATTTCAAAATTAGTTCATGAGAATCAATAGGCCAGGACAGGCAGCCCTCTTGAGACTGTATGCCAATTATGGGTTCAGCTGAGATAAGCATCAGATATGATCCCTTAATTATTTCTGATTCCCCCTTTTTTCTGACTTTTGTCTTGTCTCTCTTATTCCTTGAACCTGTTTTCTACCACAATCCTGAAACAATTACGTGAAAGTAAATCCTGTTAAATTCATTAAACTTTTGCTTGAGAATAATTCAGAATTCTCTGAATCTGAATGTATTTTATTATTCTCTGGAAGTATTTAACAAGCAATGAATAGAACTGTCTTATTTTTTTAAAAAATGAATTTGTTAAGATTATTGTACATTCTTATTCAACAAATTCGGCATCCACAATTGGGAACTTGAAAAGTTTGTTTTTTTTATGTATTTCTATGTAATTTGGTCAACTCATTAGCCTTATTCTTTGTCACTGCCACCATTTAAGGAAAATATGTTAACTTCCACTGGTTTCATAAATAGTGTGTATAACTATTTAAATACTGTTTACAGCATTTCTTCTGCATTGGGCTTTGTGATCTTCTCTCTCTGTAGTATGATCTTGCAATTTATTTTCCACTCTTTTCATCTTTGAGATTTCATATTTAAATGTGGCTTTGCTATCCTAAGTATTAGGGTGATGTCGATTTGAAAGAAATATTTCTTCAAAGTAGACAATGCCATGTTTTGTGGAAGATTTCCAAGACTATAAGCAAGAACATGATTGCTTTCATATTATTTGG